GCTCACTGCTTGAATGCAAAAAGAATTCTCTCTTAATATATATTGAATTTATTTCTTTATTGTTCCTAGCATGATGAATCAGGTGCATGTACACCTGGTGGCTCTGAAGGGAACTATATCATGTTTGCAAGGGCAACCGAAGGCAGTAAGCCAAACAACAGAAAGTTTTCTTCCTGTAGTATCGAGAAAATGGCAGCTGTCATGCGTGTCAAAGCAGTGTGTAAAGATCATAAATGCTGTTTTGAGAGTAAGTAAGTCATCTTTCTTCACTTTGGTTCCAAAGGTTCTGGTCACTGCTTTGAACCCCTTGGACACCATACGTGAATTGAGTTTGTTTGATGTGTTGTTCTCTCCTATGCTATGAGGGTTTTCTCAGGGTTCTACGGTTTCTTCCCTCTTTAAGGAGGGTGCCTACTATTGTCATCATCATCATCATCATCATCCATTCATTTTTTCTTACATCCATTCATTTTTTCTTTCATTCATTCATTTTTTCTTTCATCCATCTTTTGTTTTGTTCATTTTTTCTTTCGTCCATCCATTTATCCAACCATCCATCTATTCTTTCATCCCTCCCTCCCTCCCTCCCTCCCTCCCTTCCTCCCTCCATCCATTCATTTTTAACAAAGTCTTTTGTTTGGACAATAAGTAAAGATAGAGAATAATTTCACTTTGATTTACAAGTCTCCGCATAAAATCAACCATTGCCCCCTAAATTCTCTCTTTCTCCATTTTAACTAATAAATTATGCTTTTATTAATTTAATGTTATCGTTTTTTAGAGGCTGGGGCTGCAATCTGTGGTAATGCTGTTGTAGAGAAAGATGAAGAGTGTGACTGTGGTTTTAAGGAGGATGAATCTTGTCAGAAAGATAAGTGCTGTGAAGGAGCACAAGATACCAAAGGCTGTAAATTAGTTGATGGGAAAAAGTGCAGGTAATACAGACTGTAGACTGGATCCCTACTTTAAGATATAAGCACAGTTAGTAGGGACCTGTTGCTAGTGTGGTGGTCGTGGCTGTCCTCAAGGATGTCATGACAATGCTGATGGTGATGACTGTGGTGTGGAATATGATGATGATGATGAGACTGGGTCCTTGTAGACATACTGTGGTGGCTGCAATGATGATAATGGTCATGGTGATGTTGAAAGTAAAAATGATGATGACAGGATGACAGCAATGATGGTGGTACAGTATGTGGCGATGATGATAATGATGTTCATTGCAATGTTTCAACAGTGATGATGATGATGATAAGGCAGTGAGAGTGATAATAAAAATGATAGCAACAAATATGCTGATGGTGGTGGGGATGGTGGTGATCACGATAATGGTAGGGATGATGATTTTGATGATAATAATATGCTGATAGTGTTTGGAATGATGAATGATGATGATAGATTATAAATAAACATTACTAATGATGATG